ACCTTCTACCTCAAATCCCCCCGAGAGATGTGAACCCCAAGAAATCTTTATTGGGAGGATGAACAGCAACAGTCTTTCCTCTATAGATTCTTTAGGCTGGCAAGGGGCTCATAGACCCTACCTACTTGGGGTCATGGAGCCCTCACCAGGTCTCATTAAGGGGCCCCAGGGTGACTTCTGTTATTATTCTGGCAAGATCCGTTTCAAGGAATGGCTGGAATCTCTGGATCACCATCATCTTGTCTGGGAAACTGTTGCAGAGAACAAACTGAAGAAGTAGATTAAAAGAAGGCAAGGGCCAAAGATCAGTAAAAGAATTATTGTAACCAGAGGCCCAAGCAGGAGTAAGAACCAGGTTACATTTGGTAACAGTTTTGGTACGGGTCCAGATAGAGTCAGTACTTGGCTTATCCTGTCCAAAGAATGGAACCATTTGGCCTGGTCATATATTTTTGATGTCCTTTTCTGTTAACCCAGTGTGATTGTTGTAGGTGTTACAGTCCCAGTTAGAAGGAGTTGGAGGATTGACAACCTGAACATTAATAGACAAAACAGATCTCATTTTTTTTTTCTGGGAGAATAAGCCTGAGACCCAATATGGACCTGGTGCTTCGGGGAGACTTGTAGTCACGTAGCCAGTTGTCTAGTTTTATCTAAGTAGGTTTTAACCTTTGATGTGGTATTAAAACATAAATAACAGGAGCTATTGGTCACTACACATGTCCCTTCTTTCTGTTAATGTATGATCTAAAGCAATTTTATTATTTAAAAATGTAGTAGTTACAAAAGGAGACCTTGAAAACATAAGGTTGTAGCTACCAGCTGTCAGCTGGTATTGTCCTGAGAACGGCCGGTGGCGTCAAATTTGACACAGCTCATAAAACTTAAGTTCTCAGCAATACAAAGTCTTTTCTGAAATCACGCCCATAGTGTCACCTAGTATTACCTTGGATGGCTGAACTACAGCTCCTTCATTTTGACGTTTAATTGTAATTTTTCCCTTAATAGCCAAAGCAGATGTCACCGTTAATGATTTTAGTGTTTTTCTAGGTATGAGAAGAGGCAAGAATTAGGGATCAAAAAAATCCTTACCTGAAAATATCTAACTATTTGAAGGCCTGTTCTGTCACTTTTTCCCAGAGCACAGAGTGCCTCATTTCTGATTTCCATTCCGAACTCTTTTCATGGGATGTTGAAGGTTAGCAGCTGAAGCAACTCATGATTTAATCCTTGTAGAGGTAGATGGCGAGTGCCAGTTTCCAGTTGGCAGGGCCCTTTATGATCATAAATTTGGACATGCTTTGGGCGGCATTTTATGACCATTTTGTACCATGGCTCTAGGAATGTTCATTCCCAGGTCTGGTGAAGATTTTGCTGACAGGCCACTCACTGTGCTATTTATTACTGGACGAGGCCTTGTTATCAGTAGCCAAAAGTCTCTGGACCACCTGTCTTACTAGTCTCTTATGATCCAGGAAAATATTCCCTTTTGTTGCTTCCTCCCATATCTAGAGTTACACTAACAGTCATTGATTTCGTATGAGACTATATATATCATCATTTTATCAGAGATCAGTCATACATTTGGTAATGTAAGAAATAACAATTTTGTAAAATAGGCAATAAAAAATAATATAGCAGTATTAGTAAGGTCAGAAGTAAGGGTTTAAGTCAAGAACTTACATTAGGTGCAGCCTAGTATACCCCCAAGTTGTCTGTCTTAGTCTGTTTTGTACCACTTCGTATCTTTAAGGGAAATTATATACATTGGCATTGTCCATAAGACGTTCAGCCTAATTTCCTAATGTTACTAGGCTGGTTATCCTTAGTATAGTCTAATTGTTCCTTTAAACTTAAATGATCATAGCCTGGTGTTAATCTCCAGGTTGTAGATCATGGAGTATGTGATCTTTATCCAAAGGTTGATTATGAAGTTAGGCTTCAGAAAGAAACTTAGAATGTCCCTTTAATAATTTAATTAAATTTTGTAACAATATAATGTTAACAGCAAGGAACTATCTGGGAAGTGAGTCTTAGTAGACACAGGCCTTAATTAACAAAACTAGAATTTAGTATTTAGTGAAACATAATCCTTTTTCTAAAATTGTCCTCATTTCCACCAAACACAGCCGAGATCAATTTGTTTTCAAAATAAGTTTGGTCCATTGACCGCATAGGCTCCTCCATACTGACTCTGGTGTAACTCCTCAGAAGGAGTCTCAGACTAAATTCCCAAAAGGCCTCTCAAGGCCAAGAAAGCCATGCCAAAGGCCTGCCATCAGATTTTGCTTAGGTGGATTTCTGTCTTCTAGAGGTCCCTAAAGTATTTTGAGATTCCTTTACATGTCAGGAGGCAGTCTTTTTTTATTTATCTGATAAGGCTGTTCATAACCCAAGGATCTCCAATTTCTGGAGGGACCAGGCAAAGAGAAAAATGTTTTAATTTTATCCTCAGGTGTAAATTACCAAATTGTTGTAAGCCATAAGTAGCTTGAGGAGAAGGGCTTTTCTGTATCTGAAAAACAAAGGTTAGAAATTGGTAATATGTCAAAGTCATATTTAATGTAATTTAATCCCATGTAATTAAATTAAGAGTTAACTTCAGGCTTTCTCCTGGGCGTATTTTTGTTCTCTCAGGATCAGAATTCTGAAAAAAAGTATTTTAACAAGCTAGCTTTCTCTAATTGCATATGCAGAAAGAACCAGTTTTGCAATTTCAAAAGGGTTTTATCTTAACCAGTTTTTTCTGGAGTCTAAAGAGTATTGTGGCCACACGGTGTCAAAAAAAAAACCCATCTTTTTCTGTATTCATAGTTTCATAGCTAGAATTTAGACCAAAGAGTGCTCAAATTGGCCCTAATGACAGAGGCAGACTGGCTGATACATTGTTGTCCCAGGGATACCTTCCATGGTGTTTATGACTAAAAGTGGACAGAAAGAACAAAAATAACTTACTGCCCTGGGAGCGTTTCTGAGGGGTGGTTTTTTTTGGTTTAGGAGGAGATCCTCCCATGTTAAATAACCTGCAACTGAGAACAGTGCTCCTAGAAATGAAGTCCAGCATCCTGGAAACATTACTAGGAGGCACCTGGAGGAGATTCAGAGTGTCCTCTGAATGTCTTTCGATCTTAATGCTGATGGACTTTGGAGCATCCTCTACTCCCCCACTGATTTCTAACCAGACGTCTCTGGTCAGCTTTGGTTTCTTGCACAGGGTGCCCTCCCTTCTTACCTGGGGTGGACATTTGAACCAGTGCAGAGTGGTTGCCGGTTTTCCCTTAAGCTTTATAGACATCAGATCTCCCCTCTGTCCTATAACAAGATTTCCTACTGGGATGTACTCCTCGGGGTTAAGCATTTGTGAAATTTATGACATTATCTCCTGGGAATTGGCCAGCCCAATAGGCTGTCCATAGCAGTGTAAGGGCTGCCAAAGCTTGAGGGGTGGGGGGGTCCGAGAGGTAAAAGGAGGAACTCTTGGAAGAATTGGAGTTGGGAAACATAATTATTTCCAAAGTCATATGCCCTGGTGTTTTTTGTAACTAAGACCTCAGGGAGCCTGTGCGCTCAGCCTGACAAACACAGCATTGACAGTTTAGCAATAAAAAGCAAAAGATCTTCTCCCAGGAGGGTGTGAAAATATGTAGTGAAAAACAGAGCCTTATGTGCAAGAAAAGTAGGAAAGAAAGGTGCAGGCCAAAGGAGAAGCTAAGGAAGATAGTGCGAGCAGAGGTCTCTAGCCATAGTTGAGCAAGACCTGCAAGTTACCTTGGAAGCAATCCAAGTCATGGCGCCAGATGACGTCGGCAGAAGACGTTGTCTTCTTGGGAGAAAGAATTCACAAAAAGACATTGTAAAGCAGGCACAAGATTTATTGGAAGCACAGTATGTGCAAAGAGAACAAAGAACCAGTTTATTTAGAGCAAAGCAAAAATACACACCCAGAGAAGAGTGCAGGCATCCTCCCTAATGAGGAGCACACCAGAGAGGTGATTTAAATCACTTATATGGAGGAAGTTTTTCCAAGTGTTTGTTTTTCTCTGGCCAGTCATCTTGCTTCGTTTCCAACCTCTGACCTGACCCAGGGTGCTTCTCCATATGCGTGTGCATCTTTTTGCCAAGATGGATTCCAACACAGCAGCCTATGGGACATTGACAGCACCTATTATGGGGTAGCGCGCCTCCCTTTTTGACCCCCAAGGAGTCTTTCTGCACATGTGCAGTCAGGGAGGTCTCCTCGACCTCAGGAGTGATAGATGTGGTCATCTTATCTCTTTATTCTGGCAGAGCTCAGCTCCTGCCATTAGCTTTGTCCTTGAAGTGTCTAGGGAACACAAAGCTCCAATTTACTCTGCCTGACAGACTTTAGCTGTTCAGCCCAGGGGCCCATCTACATCTACCTCCCAGCTCAGAACCACCAGCCAGGATCTGCCGAGAAGCCTTGTTCACGAAGCCGACAGCAGGTTTGGCTGACGTCTTAGCAAGCCTGAGAACCTCAGCAGGGGCTGAGGTGCATGGGCCAACTTGATCCCCTGAATTTTGGCCTGCAGAGCCTCTCCTGAGCGAGAGAGCCAGGGCTGGGTTGATCGTTGGGCCAAGTGGCTGCCTGTGGGGCGGCAGTCTGGCAACTGCTCCAAGGCAATGGGTGGTTTGGGTCGCAGACTCACCAACTCACTGTGTGATCTCTGGCGGGTTGGGACTTGCCTGTTGCGCCCCACCAGACTTCCCAGGCTCCAGGAGGGACTCTGGAGGAGAAAAGACCCCTGAAATGCTGTAACTTCTTAATACGAACTTTCTTAGCAAGTGGAAATGTACTTGTTCAGAAATGAAAATAAATAAGCAACAAGCCTCTAATTTTTTATTTGAGACTCGTTATAATATTTCATATCAATTTGAAATTCACCTAAGGATAAGTAAGTTTTTTTTTAAGTTCTAAATATGTAATTTCAGACTTAAACAGCATGAACTTATCACTAATAGAATTTGTACTTATTTTCCAGGCGATTAATGTGGATCTGACTCATATTGAAAATAGAATTGGTGACATTGTTAAATCAGAAAAACATGTTCAGCTAGTGTTGGGACAACTGATAGATGAGTATGTACGATATTTAAGGACACTTTTTTGTTTTCTTTTTTGTAAGTAAATTTATACTTAAATTTAGAACAGTTGTGGCCACTTCAGCATTTTGTTTAGAACGCTTAGTGCTCATTTTCATTGTAAGGATCATTGTACTTAAAAAATAAGTGCTTACTTGTGTGGAGTACTTGGAAATAATATAACTTTTATTTTTTTCTATTGTTTTAAAGCGACACAAAACATAATTTTTATCATCTTTCCTGTATGAGTTTAACTCTGACAGCAGAATTGTTCCAAAAATATTAATGAAAATGATTGCAGAATTTTAATTGTTGAAAACAATTTCAGCATTTATTATTTGATTAACCTTACATTTAGTTACATTGATAAGAACATTTTCAGAATATGAGTAATGAATGGTGTTTACCTAAACATATTCATTACTTTTGAGGCATACCTTATTGCAACAGGAATTAGACATAATAGAGGAAAATTATTATTCCTAATTGGGTTTTTCCTTTTTTTTTTTAAACTATTAGGAACTATTTGGATCGGTTAGCAGAAGAGGTAAATGATAAATTACAGGAAAGTGGTCAGGTAACCATATCCGAACTGTGTAAAACCTATGATCTTCCCGGAAACTTTCTGACACAGGTATTTTTTTCTTAATACTATAATATGTCTTTTCAGATAAATAAAAGAATTTTAATGGGAGGGAAGAAACTATACCTTCTTACCATTAATTGATTTTTTGCAAGTGTTTTGACTACTGATGTTCTAACAATATATTTGGGGAATACTTAAACATTGATGGCTCTGATGAGATTGTTTAGACGTGATTGTAATCTTCCTGAACCCAGAGACACCCTAAACTTAAGTAGACTTAAGTTCTAGGCCTGCTTTGATGCAGTAGCAGGTATACCATAAGCATATAGGTTTATTTAACGTTCTGATAACAACTGTACAGAAACTTTAACCAGGGTATCATCAGTTCTGATTGCCTAGTTATATTTTAAGAAATATTTTAAGAAATAACTGATGAAGACTATAATTTAGAAGGGGTGCTACTGGCATCTTGTGTGGTAAAGGTCAAGGCTGATGCTAAACATCCTGCAGTGCACAGAACATCCCTTCCCAACAAAGAATTTTCTTGCCCAAAATGTAAGTAGTACCAACATCTTTTGATGTCACCTTTTTTCCTCTAAACTGTCAGTGTGACAGGAAGAAGAACCAAGGAATCACTTATATTCTCTTCATTTTTGGTACTTGTGTCAATACTCAAATCAGATATCTTGATTTATAGTGTAATAACAATGCTACCTGAAAATAGAGGCTAGTTCCCTGTTTGTTGTTTCTTTTTTCTTAAAATGGTTTGACATTTTAGAATTATAGAAGTCCATTTGGTACAGTGGAAAGTGCATGGGCTTTGGAGTTAAACAGACCTTGATTTGAATTCTGGCTATGCCACTGCTTAGTTATTCAGTGTCAGGAAAATTATTTCATGTCTTTTGTGCTTCCAGTTACATATCTGAAAATGGGAATAATTGTCTCTTTCATAGATCTCAGTGAGGTTATATTCATGATATATCTACTGAAATGGCTGGCACAGTGAAAGTACTCAATAAATGATGGTTTTGTTTTGTATTTACTGCAACAAATAAGGGAAAAGCCAAATCTCTTTTTAGGTATACTTTAACTTACCAAACCATAATTGCATGAGATTAATTTATAATAAAACAGATTTACTCATTCATTTTAGCTGAGTGATTTCTCCTAATTGCATCTAAAATACCATTTAGGACATAGATCTGTTTTACAAAGCATTTCAGGAGCCTAAGCTCCTGAGCAAATGTATGTAAATCACAGAAGATAAAATCGGCAAATATATGTAAATCACAGAAGGTAAAAAAAAAAAATTTTTAGACACTTAAATAAAAGTATCAGAACAGATTCAAATGATTTCTTATAAAATTGTGCTACTGATACATTTTAGAAATATATATAGTTTCTTAATATTTTTCAGTTTTAATTTTTCTCAGTTTCACAGGCAGTATTCTAAAAGCTCATTAAGAAGTTGTTTGGAAAGCATTTTTCTGTACCATAAAAGTATCAGCCAGCTGACTTGAGTAGATTTAACTTGTCCTGGGAAGGCAAATATGTCCAGGCTTATTTTATATGTACCTGATCCCAGTCATAGTGTAGCTGTGGAAAAATACTCTCTTGAGATTACCAAGAAATCAGGTTGTCTGTCAGTATAGATTTCTGGACACAGTTTGTTAATATTTGCATCACAGAAGATAACTTTTCAGGTCTTATGTTTCCCTAGGTTGCAGAATCTTGGAATAATATTTATATTTCTCTCTGTTAGTGTTAGAAGGTCCATATAGGATCCTCTCCAAGACCCATGTATATGTCTTGGCTGTCTATGTGTCAGACTGCCTGTATCTAGAAAATTGGTTAATCAATCTCTTTTATTTTACCATAGAAATAGGCCTTATTTTAGCATGTAGCTGAGCCTTTTAACATTCAGCTATTTGATTCATTCGATTCTTGTCTCTGCCATAAGATTATGAAGTTTCCTAGATCCTAAGTCTTCATTTTACCTTATATATCTTGTTAATTCATGCTTGCTGAAATTATTCAGTCATATGATTAATACAGCATCAGCATGCAACATGACGCTAGTAAGACTGTACAAATGTAAATGTGTAATTCTGTTCTTTCAAATTAATAAGAATTTTCATCCATCTTTACCCTCAGGCGCTAACTCAGCGACTAGGTAGAATTATTAATGGACACATTGATCTTGATAACAGAGGAGTAATATTTACTGAAGCTTTTGTAGCTAGACATAAAGCACGCATCCGTGGGTTGTTCAGTGCTATTACCCGGTAAGCATATTTTAAATTATGTATATTTTTACATTTGTTTGATTATTGTTTGCTTTTTTGTTGTTTTAAAGCAGAATCTCATTCAGGCCCCTAGTTTATTGAATAGACAGAGGGCAGCTTCTGTGAAATAAGAATGGGGATTCCAGAGCCCTAGAATGTGGCCACACTCTCTCCAACGCACATCTCCTTTACTCGCCTACCTTCACCATCCTTATGACCCCAGATGTACTTCTGCAGAACACCCAGATCATATATAAAGTCACCCTGGGATCATGGAAAGAGGATGCGGTCAGAAGTCCTTGGGTCATATCCCTATCACATAGTAACCTTGTGACCTTGAGTAGATAAGTCAGTCAGTCACCTAACTTCTTTGGGCCACAGACGGGGCTGGATGACTTTAGAACTTTTTTTTTTTTACTAAATAACATTCTAGAATTCTAATGAATAACAATTTTACTTTCAAAATCACTTGAACTTAATGTTTGGGCCCTGTGTAACAAACTCCAGTGTGGAATTAAGAAAAACTACATTCTCAATTCTCTCTTTTCTCCTGTGTCATTTAGTTTATCTCAGTGGTTTTTGGGTCCCACCAGCATTTAAATGTCCAGATTTCTCCATTTTAAAACAATCAAACCTCTCTCAACCCCATCCACTCCCTTTACCATCTTGTTTATTCCTTTCCTTAAAGTGAACCTTCTCGAATTGATGTCTACAGTTACTATCTCAGTTTTCTTACCTTTAGTCACTTCTCAACTCACCCACCTGGCTTCTACAACTTACGTAGCAATGATGTCAGTATCATTAAATTTAATGGGTATTTCCTGTCCTTGTTTTACTTTATAGCACCATTTAACCCCAATTACGGCTTCCTTCTTGAAATGTTCTCATCTCTCTTTTTTTTTTTTCTTTCTTAACACTGTACTTTCCTGGTTTCTTTTTACCTCTTTTGGCTGTACCTTATTAGGCTGTACCTTTTCTGGCTCTTCCTTCTTTCACGAGCCTTGAAAGTTTTGTTTCAGGCCATCTTTTCTTCTCAGTCCTGTACTGTCTGCCTAGGTGCTTTTACCTTTCTTCTAAGTTTCAGACTCATACTATCTGTACAGCATCTCTGTTGAAGTGTTTTATTAAAAAGTGCCTCAAATTCAGCATATTTAAAATAACTCACTACTGTCCCACTTTCCACCTCTTCTGAATTTATTCTTCCACTGGTGTTTCCATTACCAGTAAATATCATCATCAGGTTGGTTTTGCCAGAAAACTGGGAGTCCTCCTTTATGCCATCCTTTCTCTTACCTCCCTTTCCATAACACAACATCTTTTGAATTCATATTTTAAATATTTATGTAATCTTTACTTCTCTGACATCACCATTCTTACCACTTCAGTCCATTTTTTACCTAGACTGTTTCAGGAGCTCTCTAACAAGTCCCCCTTCTTTTACTCTTATTACTTTTCAGGACATTTTTTCGTGGCAGCCACAGTGATTTCTTTTTGTCATTCAGCAAATCAAAAGCACTCATTGAACACCTAATACATTCAGGGCCCTGGTGGAACAAAAGACTAAAAGGACAGAAGAGAGAGCTTGCAATCTAATGCAACAGTTTTCTTTCTCTCTTTCTTCCTTTTTTTATCTCACACTTACAGAAAAGTTGCTAGAGAACCTTTTTGTTTTTTAATTCTGTCACATTTGAGAGAAAGTGGCTGACATGATGTCCCATAATCACACTTTAGTCTGTATTTGTATTTCCTACAAACAAGGGCAACGTCCTATAGAACTACAATACAAACATCAAAATCAGAAAATTGACCATGATCCATTACTACTATCCAGTCCTTGGATCCCATTCATGTTTTACCAGTTGTTCCAATAATATTCTTTATACAAAAAGGATCCAGTTCAGAATCACATAGTGCATTTAATTGTCATGTCATGTCTCCTTAGTCACTGGAACACTTACCTTACTTTCATGACCTTGACACTTGAAGATCACAGGCCAGTTATTTCATAGAATATTCAGTCTTTTCTTTCTGCTACTTTGTCATATTTATATTCAGGTTATGCCTCTTTGGCAGGAATATCACAAAAGTGATTATATGTTCTTGTCATTGAACCCTATCAGGTGGCATACAATTTAGATTTTTCCAGTTACTGATGAGGTGCACTGTGACTTCTTAATAAGGAGATGTCTGCTAGGCTTCTCATAAAGATTCTTGTATCCCTTTATAATTAAGTATTTATGGGGAGGGCAGTTTGAGATCATGTGAGTTACCCTGTTTTTCATCAAATTTTCAGTTTATTCATTTATTAAATCACTGTGGACTTATGGTTTTCTATATTATTCATTAGATTATAATCTATTGTTACCATTATTTAGATTTTCAAATTGGCTCTGATTTAGCTAGTGGAAGGCCTTTCAAGCTGGCTTCTGTGTCCTTTTGACGTGTCCCCATCATTCTTCCAACACTTCTTTCTGGCGCAACAAGAAGTTCCAGGCTCAGTTCATACTTTACCTGTTCCAACCTTGGAATCAGCCATTTCTCCAACGAGCCCTGGTTCCTTTTAGTAGAGTATAGTATTTAGAAACCAAGATCTGGACACTAGATTGTTTATTGCTGTTTGGTTGTTCCTACTCCCAAGCCCTCTCAGCAGACAAGCTAAGGTATACACGTTACACAATTGTATACCACCCCCTATATATCTATATTTTTGTATTTTTGTGTATCAGGAACCATGAGTTCACACTGATACCTTCAACACTCTAAGTCTTGTTCTAGTTTTCTCCTTTTCCATAATTGTAACTCCCTTCTCTGTCCATGAGAAACCTAGCTCCCATTATCCTTAATGTATTTACTTATTTGATTAATTCCCCTTTATGTGACTGATCTCCCATTTGCTGCTACAGCTCTCTTCCCTATGTGGATGTCTGCTTTACATAGGCTCTGACAGATTCCACCAGATCACCCTTCTAACACAAGAACAGTAGTTTTTTCCAGGAGAGGAACTGAGTAGCTGAGTGATAGGAATGGAGGGGGACTCCGTTTTGTAACTTTTTTGTACCCTGAACATTTATCACTTAGTCAAAAAAACAAAAAAAAAAAACTAAAAGTGTATTTTTCCTATTAACAAATATTTATCCTTTTTCTTTGACTAGTTTTTGTGGTGAGTGTAGTTATCATCTGGTTCAGCAAATAATATTTTCCTGACTCATAGTAGCCCTGAGTTTCTCTGTATGGAGGTATTATCAAACCATGAGAGCAAAAACAAATTTTGAGCCACAAAAGATGTTGCTAGGCTGTGTGGCTTCTAGTTAGTACCATTTAAGGTAATGTATCTTCATATTTGCCTCTTAAATACAAGGAACCAACTCAGTTTTCTGGTCTAACTTCAGAGAGAAGACCTGCATCTCTGACTGAAAAGGGTTTATGTTTATTGTTACTATACGTAGCCAGAAAGAAGAGCAGGAAGTAGTTAGTGAGAAGAATACTAAGCTACATTGTATTCCAGATTGAAATAATTCAGTAGCTAAGTTTCATTGTACAAAAAAAGCTAGAAATTTTGTGCAATCCAATTAAACTTTTATTGAACACCCACAGTAAGTTATGCACCCAGCAGTTTTAAGATAAAGTTCTTCAAGATGCCCTCTGCATTTTTGTAGGAATGTGTTCAGGTAGAAAGGAACAGAAAACAAAAAACATGAGAAGGTTGTAATAAGATAAACAGGAGAGCAAACTTCACGTAATTGGACCTAATTGGTCCGGGGGGGGGGGGCGGGCTTTAGATAATTCAACTGAAAATTTTAGGTAAAATAATTTAATACAAACCAAATTGATCTATATAGGAATTTGGTAAAAATAATAGTTTAGTCAAAAATCCCCAAACACAGCGGTTTTAAGTATTAATTCATATTTAGACAACTGTTTCTGCTCTCCCAGGTTTGTCATAGGGAAAATTTATAACATTTCAAATAATCAACAAGAGAGAATCAAGTAGTTGGAATAACTTAAAAGTCTTTTAGTTATATGTGTAAGAATAAAAACACAGACTAAACCTAAACCAGAGAACTGGTATAATTGGCTTAAAATGAATAGGGATGAAAAAATTGGAGTCAGAAAAAAGTCTAGACCTTTTTTTTCAATAGTTTCCTTTACTTAAAATAAATTGTAATTATTATAAAAGAAAAGCATTCACAGGGATCTATCCAAAAGAAATGAAAACATATCTCTGCACAAAGGCATGAAACAAATCTTCATAGCAGCATTATTCATAATAGCCCCAAACTGGAAATAATCCAGGTGTCCATCAACTGACAAATGGATACAAACAACAAAATATGGTATATCCATACACCAGTATGCTATTCAGCAACAAAAAGGAGTGAATACTGATCTGTGCTTTATTATGCATGAACCTCAAAGACATGCGAAGTAAAAGAAGCTGGATACAAGAGACCACATACTGATTCCATTTATAAGAAATCTCTAGAAAAGCACATTTGTAGAGGCAGAAAGCAGATCAGTGGTTCTCTAGGTCTACGGGTGGCAACAGGAATTAACTGCAAATATCTGGGAAGGAACTTTTTGGGTGATGGAAACCTTCTAAAACTGGATTGTGGTGTTGGTTGCTCAGTTCTGTTAATTTATTGAGATTGTTGAATTGTATACTTAGAATTGGTTAGATTTATATGTAAATTTTGTATATCTCATTAAAGCTGTTCAAAAAAAAAGAAATGGGGCTTCCCTGGTGGCACAGTGGTTGAGAGTCCGCCTGCCAATGCAGGGGACACGGGTTCGTGCCCCGGTCCAGGAAGAGCCCACATGCCGCGGAGCGGCTGGGCCCATGAGCCATGGCCACTGAGCCTGCATGTCCAGAGCCTGTGCTCCGCAACAGGAGAGGCCACAACAGTGAGAGGCCTGCGTACCGCAAAAACAAAACAAACAAACAAACAAAGAAATGTATAATCATTATAGAAAAGACTGATAAGCAAAAGAGAGAAATTAAA